CGTGTCCCTTTGCCTTCTCCTCCTGAGTCCTCTCTTCCTGCGCTTGCCGACCCTGAGTCGGACTCTCTTCGTGCTGCCAGTCCTACTGTCACGCGTCTGCTTGCTACTGTCGTCACTGACCCCTCTTTTGAGTCCACTGCTGCGTCTGCTCTAGTCGCTGAGCTCGTCGACTTTGCTGCTCGCTGTCGTCTCGACTACGCTGCTAGTCTTGTTGCTGAGTCTGCGTCTGTCTGTCCTCCGTCCGTCGGGGGTGAGTGTGCTCTTGGCACGGACGTCCTTGAGGACAGGCAGGAGGAGTTACAGTGTCTAGCGGCTGCTTCACCTCATCTCGCGTCTGTACTGCTTGCCCCTGAGGGAGACCCGGATGCACTAGACATCCCGACTCCGCGTTCTTACGCGGAGGCCGTAGAGGGTCCCTACTCCTCTTAGTGGCAGGCAGCTATGGATGCAGAGATGGCTTCCTGGAAGTCCACAGGCACCTACGTTGACGCGGTTCCCCCTCCTGGGGCGAACATCGTCAGTGGCATGTGGATCTTCAGGGTGAAGCGGCCGCCGGGCTCTCCACCTGTCTTCAAGGCACGGTACGTTGCTCGTGGCTTCAGTCAGCGGCAGGGAGTTGACTACTTTCAGACCTTCTCTCCCACCCCGAAGATGACCACTCTTTGGGTTCTGCTGCACATAGCCGCTCAGCGCGACTACGAGCTTCACTCTCTCGACTTCAGCACTGCGTTCCTGCAGGGTAGCCTACACGAGGAGATCTGGCTGCGCCGTCCGCCTGGCTTCACTGGGACTTTCCCACCTGGCACCCAGTGGAGCCTCCGACGGCAAGTCTACGGTCTCCGTCAGGCACCACGTGAGTGGCACGACACACTGAGGACTACACTTGCGGCTCTTGGGTTTGCTCCTTCTACTACTGACCCGTCGCTGTTTCTGCGCACCGACACTTCCCTGCCGCCGTTCTACATCCTCGTGTACGTCGACAACTTGGTCTTTGCCACAGCGGACACTGCTGGACTCGCCTACGTGAAGTCCGATCTGCTGAAGAGACACGCGTGCACAGACCTGGGTGAACTGCGCAGCTACCTTGGCTTGCAGATCACTCGGGACAGAGCACGCCGCACCATTACCTTGACTCAGTCACACATGGTGCAGCAGGTCCTTCAGCGCTTCGGCTTCACGTACTCCTCGCCTCAGGCCACTCGTCTGCCTACTCGCCACTCACTCTCAGCTCTGCCTTCGGATGAGTCCGTAGAGTCGAGTGGTCCGTATGCAGAGCTTGTTGGCTGCCTCATGTACCTGATGACCTGCACACGACCTGACCTTGCATACCCTCTGAGCATTCTTGCACGCTATGTTGCTCCTGGGAGACACCGACCAGAGCACATGGCTGCAGCGAAGAGGGTATTGCGCTACCTGTGCAGTACGTCGGGCATGGGGCTAGTGCTTGGAGGGCGGAGTCCAGTGGTCCTTACAGGCCACGCGGACGCTTCTTGGGCTGACGACCAGGCTACGCAGCGGTCGTCATAGGGTTACACCTTCAGCCTTGGTTCCGGCTCTGTCTCGTGGCGGTCTACTCGCTCGTCTTCGGTTCTCGGCTCCAGTTGTGAGGCTGAGATCTACGCCGGGGCCATGGCTGCACAGGAGCTTCGCTGGCTCACCTACCTGCTGACTGACCTTGGAGAGCCGCCTCGTTCTCCTCCAGTGCTGTACGTAGACAACAAGGCCATGCTGGCCTTGTGTCGAGAGCAGCGCTTGGAGCACAGAACGAAGCACATTGCTCTCCGCTACTTCCTTGCTCGTGAGCTGCAGCAGCGTGGTCAGTTGCGACTTGCGTACGTGGCCTCTGAGGCCAACACTGCTGATGTGTTCACCAAGGCACTCGCGCCTTGTGACCATCAGCGCTTTTGCACCCAGCTGGGTCTTGTGCCTGTCTTGCCTCACTTGCTCTCCTCTTGACTTTACTTGTACTGTGACATATATATATACCTGCTCTTGCTTGTCTAGTTTTATATATATGTCTGTACTCCTGCATGTGAACTGGCCTCTGGCCCTGCTCTTGTGCTCGGACTGTGTGGTGACTTTGTGATCCACCCTGAGCTTGCTTTGCTTTGCTTGACTGGTCTTGTGACCCCTTGTTCTCCCCCAGTTTGCCTATGGGGGTGTGTTAGAACATATCTATAGCTTATACTATTGTGTAGGCTGTAGTGGGGTATCCCATAGGGGGTACAACCCAGTTAGGGTTTCATATTTGTACTGCCTTCATTCATAGTTCATTCATTCCTGTTCGCTTATTCTCATACCCTTTCTCCAGCGGTGCGTCGATTTTTCGTCGCAGCTCCTCGAGTTCCGGCTGGGTCAACCGCCACTATGTCCGAACGGTTGGTTGCGCTCTAGGTTCGAGCTGGATTTTGTGGTCCTCAGGTCTCTCCGGTGGCAGTCCAGGTGGCAGATCGTCGGGGAAGATTTCCGGGTACCTCCGAATCAGCTCCACTAAATCCGGTGGTACAGCTGCACACAACTTCTCGATGTCTTTCCCTTCGGTGTCAACTGCCAACTCGTGTAAACAAACAGCGAACAGCTGCGCGCCCTTGTTGAAGTTGCGAGCTATAGTGATGGCTTTGACGCACGGGGCTTGGATTTAGTCAGGCGTCCATGTAGGGAGCTTAATTAGCCCCTTGTGCTTGTTGATGCTGCACGTTCCCGTTGTCCAGTCGATGACGGGGTTGTGCCGTCGCAGCGAATCACGTCCCAGCAGTACGTCGCAGGCGTCCAATGTTGTCGCGAGGAACTTCATGCTGAAGCCGAAATCGTCGCCGCATTCGATCCTGACCGTCCGTGTTTCTTCCGTTATCGCCAGAGGCGTCCCATCCACAAGGCGGGCGTCGATTTCGGGCAGACACCTGTCAAGTTGCAGGTTGCATTTTTTTGCGCTCGCCAAATTGAAGAGGCTATGACTGGCCCCTCCGTCGACGAACATTTTCTAGTTATTTTTTAACACCTTACCAGCGATCAGCACAGGGTGATCCACGTGATTATCCCCGTTATTCGGCCGAGTGCGATCGATTGCATGAATCGGAACCACGACTCGGTGGGGATGGTGGGGTTCAGGCGACGGAGCACAGTCTGTAAAGGGCCCGCTAATTACTGACTCTTCCCATTTCCCTGCTCCTTCCTGTCGTTCCCCGTCAGCGGCGTTTTCTCGTGGTAGTCTTTCAGGTAGTGACCCGTCTACCCACACCGGTAACACGGTCCCTTAGGAGGGCGGTCGGGTTTATGGACGGCGTTGCTCGTGGTCCGATGGGTCTGGCCACGAAAGCGGTTTCCCTCCCAGGAAGCTGCTCTGTCGTACTGCATCAGCGCATCTGTGGACTCCGCCAACTATACTGCTGCAAGGAATGACGTCGGACGGCCCCTGTGAACCTCGTACTGTATCTCGTATTTGAGGCCGCTGTCAGAATGTTATTGTTCTCTAGCCTGTAGTGGGGTGCTCTATAGCGAGTACAACCCTTCTAGGGTTTGCTATGTGTATCCTCATTGCTGCTAGTGATCCCCCTCTTTTGCCTAAACTGTTTCTTGCCTAGCTAGGACTTTCCTAGCTATGGCTCCAACTTCTAATTTCTCATTTCACATGGAATCAGAGCGATATGCTCCTGGCCTGTGGGCCCCACCTCATAGTTTCTGCTGCTACTGCTACTCTGTCTGTTACGGATTTTTCATCCCGCCGCGTGCCCCGAGGCGCGCGGCGGTTTTCTGCCCGCCATGCGCCCCGAGGCGCGCGACGGTTCTCTTCCCGTCGTGCGCCCCGAGGCGTGCGGCGGGTTTCTGCCCCCTCACGCCGCGCGTCGCTCCCGGGAGGCGCTGCGACAAGCGACGGGGACCTCTGCGTCGCCCCCCGTCGCCCGTCGTGGCCTGCGCGCGGCCCGTACAGCCTGCGCGCGGCACGTACGGGCTGCGCCAGGCCAGCGCGCGGCCCGTACGGGCTGCGCCAGGCCCGCGCGTGGCTCGGGCCGCCTGCGCGCGGTTCGGGCGGCAGTGCCAGGCCCGTTGGCGGCCCTTTCTTCGCTGCCCCTGCCCTACCCGCTGATCCCCGTGCCTTTGCTTGGGCCCCACCCCTTCTTGTGCCCTTTCCTCTGGATTAGGGTTTCGGGTGCTAGTGTGACAGTTGCTCCAGTTGCCCGTGTGCCAGTTGCTCCAGTTGCCAGTGTGACAGTTGCTCTAGGTGCCCGTGTGCCAGTTGCTCCAGTTGCGCCGTTTGTCAGCAGCTTCAACTGCCGCTCACTACCTCCTCTCCTCTCATAGTCTCTTTCCTCCTCCCCACTTGCCCGTTGTGACTACCACTAGCTTTGTTCATAATTGTGAACTTTAAACTATTGGTTCTTGAACTTGTGCTCAGAATGTTTGCTGACATTGTGATCCACCTTGAGCTTGTACTACTTTGTTTGCTCTGCTAATTGCACCCCACTTTGGCTATGGGGGTGTGTCAGAATATTATGCTCTAGCCTGTAGTGGGATGCTCTATAGCGAGTACAACCCTTCTAGGGTTTGCTATTTGTATCCTCACTCTTGCTAGTGCAACCCTCTTCTTTCTTCTAAATTTCACAGAAAGTAGCTCTGATACCAGGTGTTATGAGTTGTAAAAGAGAGTGTGCAGGTAAACGAATAACGAGGCTGTGACTGAATCAACTGCGAATACAATGAATGCACAGACTAATGTAGGACTACTCTAGCTAGGAGGAAACATCGGACGAGCGAGGCTGGGTGCAGGTTTGGCGATGGGAAAGCCGAAGGTGACGCGAGGAGCCTCGGCAGCGTTGAAATCGGCCGAACGTGCGAACTCCGAAAATCGGGTTGTACGCGAAGCAATCAACCTGGATAAGGAATTTGGGAAAATTCCTTACAATAAGCATGTCAAGAAACCCAAGCATTTCCCAATTTCACCTTTCAGATTCCGACTTCTGTAGATTCTGGCGCTGCGGAGGCCAGCAGCGCCGTCCGCGTCAATGGCGTCGCCCTCGCGCACCTCCCCGCCATCCCCGCGCGGCCCCAACTTCTTCGCGGGCAATCCGCTGCTGCCACGTAAGCAGGAGAAAGCCAGCGTGGCGCAGCTCCTCAGCCCGCCCGACAGCGTTCCCGCCACACCGCCGCTCCCGCCGCTTTCCTCCCGCCCTAACTCCGCGCTTCCCGGCTCCGCGCCCGCGAAATCCCCCTTGGGCGTCGCGCATCTGCTGCGCGCAGTGCCCCCGTCAAGAACATCCTCGTTACCAGCGCATTACTCCCTGCCGCCCGGCGATGTGCCTATATCGAGTCTGCACGGGTCCAGCAGCGCGTCGACCCTTTTAGGCACACCAGATTCTTCGCGAAGCGAACCGAGTGGGATCCGGATCGAATCAAATCCGATCCGGATCGAGCCTCAGGTGCTGGCGGTTCTGGACGGGCGTGTCCTCGTCGCCTGGTCGCAGCGCCGCCTTCCATCCGCCGCTGTCGCTGCCTCCGATGACGTACCTCCAACGAAGGCTCGGCAATCCGGGCGTGCAACAGACCCGGTAACAGGTTCGGCAGCAGGTTCGGCAGTAGGCGCGGACGCATTGGCCTCTGGCTGGTGCCTGGCCTGGCAGCCGCTGTCCTCGTTCGAAGGTGGGAGCAGCAGCAGCGGAGGGGGTAGCAACAGCGGCAGCAGGGTGCGGGAGAAGCTGGTGTATCTGGGGGAGAGGCTCGGCGCGCCCCACTTCGCCCTCGAAGTGCAACTCGACCCCTCCGCCTCTGCTGCCGCTGCTGCCCATGCCGCTGCTGCTGCTGCTGCTGCTGCCCCCTCCTCCGCTGCTGGTGCCACTACCGCTGTTGGCCCCACCGCTGCCAATGCTGCCGCCAGTGGTGCTGCAGGCACTGCCGCAGCAGGGGCGGAAGTGAGAGGAGGGGGAGGAGGAGGAAGAGGAGGCGGGGACGTGGCGGGTCAACGGCTCACTGCCAGCCTGGCAACTCCTGCCACGCCTCCGCCCAGCCCTGACACGCCTGCCGAACCTGCTGTCGAGCCTGCGCTCGCTGCCCCTGCCAAAACTGGCGCAGCCGCTGCCAGCATTGCTCGCGACGCGACCGCGAATCAGGCTGCGGAGAACGAGGCAGCACAGGGGAATGGCAGCAGGGATAATGGGGGCAGTGGTGACGGAGGGGGGGGAGGAGAGCGAGGAGAGGGAGGAGAGAGAGGAGCAGGAGGAGGAGGGCGGGGTGAGAGAGGAGGGGGAGGAGGGCGAGGGGAGAGGGAAGGGGGAGGGGTGGTGATGGTGGCGGGGTATGGGCGGGCAGTGTTTGTGGATCTGCGCACGCTCATGCTCGCCACGCATCCCCTTGACGCCCATGCACGCCACGACCTCGCAATTGCTGGCCATGTGAGTCGAGCAAAGGCTCTCCACCCTCCCTCACCCTCCCTCTACCCTCTCATCTCGCATCCCCTTGCAGCCTCTCCTCGCCCAACATTGCGTCTGCTCCCCTCTCACCCCCACCCTCGTCTCCGTCTCTCTGCATCCCTCCCTCCCCCTCCACCTCCCCTTCCCCCCACCAGGCGCGTGCCCTGCTAGCGTGGCATCGTCGGCGCGCTTCTGCGGCACATGTGGGGCGCGCAGCCCCCTGTGAAGCGGGAAACCGCACCGCCTCTAGCCACTCTCCTCCTATCTGCGTCTCCATCCCATCCCTCCCTCCACCAGGCGCGCGCCCTGCTAGCATGGCATCGCTCGGCGCGCTTCTGTGGCACGTGTGGGGCGCGCACGGCCCCCTGTGAGGCGGGCAACCGCCGCCTCTGCCCCGTCGCTGCCTGCCGCTCCAAGCTCTACCCACGCATCGACCCGGTACGGTGCTGTGCCTCAGTGACTTGTTGACCCGGTGAGCTCAGCTCTACCCGTGCATTGACCCCGTACGCTGCTGTGCCTCTGTGAGCTCAGCTCTATCTACCCGTGCATTGACCCCGTAAGCAGACGGCTGCTCTTTGATCCATACACACCTGGCCATGTCTATCCCAATCACCTGCCCATGCATATCCCATTCCGTAACCATTCCATGCTTTCATGCATAATCCACCCTGTCGTTTCACCATCTCACCACCACACTATCCTGTGCCCCATGCCAGGGAGTGGCAACGCTCTTGCTGGTTCTCCGACTCTTGCCTTTCCCAGCCCAGTGGCCAGCCCAGTGGTTATCAAATTCATCCTTTTCCGAGACCAATGGTCAGCACAGGGAGTGGCAATGGTCTTGCTCCACCTCTGCACCTCATCATGCCCTTCCCTTTCCTTCGCTCCCACCCATTTACGTCCCAATCGCCGACCTGCACCTGTCGCCCCACCCCACGCACTGCACCGCACTCCAACCCACTGCAGGTGGTGATAATGCTGGTGGTGCATGCACGGTAGGATCGAGTGCTTCTGGCACAGCAGCACCCATTACCCTATGATATCGCAACCCACCGTATCCAACCATCGCCCCAGCCCACCCCACCCATCCCACCGCACTCCACCATGCTGCATGGCAGGTGGTGATAATGCTGGTGGTGCATGCACGGTCGGATCGAGTGCTGTTGGCACGGCAGCACCGCTTTCCCGACGCCATGTGGAGCTGCCTCGCTGGTTTCATGGAGGTGCGTTGACCGGGGCATACAAAGGTGCTAGCTTGTGTTGATGTGTGTGCATTTCGAATGCTGTTGACATGGCAGCACTGCTTCCCCGACGCCATGTGGAGCTGCCTCGCTGGCTTCATGGAGGTGCGTTCATGCGCTCATATGTGCTGTGTGCTGCGTGTTGCATGGACCAGTGAGTGTATGTGCTGCTGTGTGTTCTTGCCTACGCTCCTGTGTATGCTTGCATGTGCTGCTTGCATGCGCTGCGTTCTGTGTGGAAGGGTGAGCGCACGTAGGTGATTGCATGGCAGCACGGCTGATTAAAGTTCTCAAAAGCTCTGCTTTCCTGACGCCATGTGGAGCTGCCTTGCTGGCTTCTTGAAGGTGCGCTCATGCAGTCATGTGTGATGCGTGCTGCGCGCTGCATGGACCAGTGAGTGTATGTGCTCCCGTGTGTGCTTGCATGGCACGGCAGCACCGCTGCATATAAGGGTGTGCGCAGATTCTGTTCTGTGTGCATGTCGAGTGTGTGCATGTCGAGTGTGTGCATGTCATGTCAAGTGCTGCTGCCACGGCAGCACTGCATCCCCGACACCGTGTGGAGCTGCCTCGCTGCCTTCATGGAGGGCCGATGCTCCCTGCTGCCTGTAAGGGCTTGGCTTTTGCATGTGCTGCTGCTCTGTGTGCACATGCTGCTGCAGCATCACTTCCCCCGACGCAATGTGAAGCTGCATCGCTGCTTTCATGAAGGTGCGGTGCTCCCTGCTCCCTGCTGCGTGCATGTGCTGTTGGCACGGGACAGCGTTGCCTTTAAGAGGCATCGGGCATTATTTCCCCGATGCCATGTGGTGAAGCTGCCTCTCTAGCTGCATGGGGGTGCGTGTATGCGCCCATGCATTCATGTGCCCTGTGCTGTGTGGAAGCGTGGCGTGGGTGCCTCTGCTCCTGGCATGACAGCACCGCACCGCTGGTTATAGAATTTTCAGCAGCTCTGTTTTCCTGATGCCATGTGAAACCGCCTCGCTACCTTCATGGACGTGTCTTCATGCGTTCATGTGCTCCGTGCTGCCTGTGAGGCTGCGTGCATACATATCCTGCTCTACATGCATGCATGCGTGCTGCCTGTGGGGCTGCATGCATACAAAATTCTGCTCTACATGCATGCATCCGTGCTGTCTCTCCCGCTTGCGAGACTTTGTTGATGGCAGTGGCATGGGAGGCTGGAGGAGAGGGACGAGGGGGAGGGGGATGTACAGAAGAATGAGTGAGATGCGAGGGGGGAAGATTCAAGGAACAGAGTGTTTTTTTTTTTTTTTTTTTTTTTTTTCAGAAACACCTTTCGACCTGCCCCTCGCACCGTTCACCCGTGCACATTCTTCCTTTCCCCTCATCTCCCCCCTGTGTACCTTCCCTTCCCATCAGCCTGGGGAGAGTCGAGAGGTGGCAGTGGCACGGGAGGAGGAAGAGGAGGAGGGGGAGCATACATAGGAGCCTCAAAAGCACACACTTGTTCCCGTTTTTTCTCCTCGTCCCCCTTTGTGTGTGCCTTCCCCTTCCATCAGCCTGGGGAGAGTTTCGAGGAGGCAGTGGCGAGGGAGGTGAGGGAGGAGGAAAAAGGGGAGGGAGAGCATACAGCGGAATGAGTTTTGAGCCATTTAATAAAACCCCTTCGTCCCCCTGTGTACCTTCCCTTCCCATCAGCCCGGGGAGAGTCTAGAGGAGGCAGTGGCAAGGGAAGTGAGGGAAGAGGTGGGGCTGTGCATCACTCACACGCGCTACCACTCGTCGCAGCCGTGGCCTGGTGAGTGGAGAGGAGAGGGCACATGCACAGAGCAGCACAGCACAGCATATGTGCTCCTAACACATGGGTGGCGAGGAAGGGAGGTGCGGGAAGAGGTGGGGCTGTGCATCACGCACACCCGCTACCACTCCACTCAGCCATGGCCTGGTGAGAGGAGAGAAGAGGAGAGGGCGTGTGTGCCGTTGGCAGGTAAGTGGAATCATACCACTCCCGCTACCACGGATCTCAGCCTCTGAACACCCACCTTTTTTTTGTTGCAAGGAAGGGGTTCTGGGTGAACGCAGAAGGGAATGACTTTGAGTGACGATCAGTTGTCTCTCGAGTCTCTACTCTAGCAGTTGAATCTGAATGAAGCCTCTCTACCAGCTGACAACTCAAAGCACCAATGCGGCGTGGCGATGTGGTACGAAGGCGGACGAAGCACCTGTTGCCCAGATATGCTGAACGCAGGGTTAAACATGCAGCCATCTCCCTTGCGCCTCTCTATACCACTCCCCTACTTCTCCTCGCCCCCACCCACCAGTGGGGTTCAGCAGCATGCAGTGTCAGGTGATGGTGGGTCATGGGACAATCTCTCCTCGCCCTCCTCCCCTCTCCTTCCCCCCATCATCCCCACCCACCAGTGGGGTTCGGCAGCATGCAGTGTCAGCTGATGGTGGGCTTCTATGCCTTTGTGGACGACACTGCTGTTACCCTCAACACACACGAGCTGCAAGGTACGTGTGCTCGTCATGTGTGCATGTGTGTGTGCGTGTGTGCGTGCGTGTGTGTGTGGTGTGTGTCTGTGCGTATGCGTGTGTGTCAGCCAATGGTGGGCGTTTTTGCATTCATCAATAACGCCACTGTTGCCCTCAACACACACGAGCTGCAAGGTGTGGTGTGTGGTGCATGTGGGTGTGGGGAGGTGGGTGCTTCTTGTGGGATGGTGTTGCAAGGTGCATGCGGGTGGGTGAATGAACAGGAGCTGCAACATGGGTGCATGCCTGTGCATGTACGTGTGTGGGCAGGGGAGCGTGTGCGCGTGTTATTGGAACAGTAGTGGAGTGGTGCATGTGCGTGGGTGGGTGGGCACAAGCTGCAAGGTGTGTGTGGGTGCGTGGGTGTGTCGGAGGAAAGTTGTAAGGTGCAATGAAGAGTAGGGACTGTCTTGTGTCACTGGAGTAGCCATCTAGTTGCATCAGTCTCAATATGTGTGCAACGAAAAGCTGTGGTGTGCATGTTTGTGGGATTCCAATACTAAAATTTTTGGTCTAATGGGTTTTTTCTTCTTCTTTAAGCATGCACTTCTATCCATGCCCTTTCGTGGTTCTGTTTGTGATGGGTTTCCAAAGCGACATCGCACCCTACCCTACCCTCACAGTGGAAGCGTTTTGTGTATACCTCCTCCATACAAGATCAGAAATCATGCATGTGAAAAAACATTTTGTGCATACAATCTTATGTCTGCTGCAGATGCTCACTGGTTCACACGCCAGCAGGTTACAGCCGCACTTTCCCCTGAGAGATACGCGACGGAATGCACTGCCGCGAGTCGCAAGGTGTATCTTAAACTAGTTCCACAAGCACACGAGGACTCGCTGCCTCCAGAGCATAAGCCCAACAACCATGTATATGTCCCAGGGCCCTACGCCATAGCCCACCATTTGATAGCTACTTGGTCGCGTGACAAAAGCATTGTGGATGGAGGACACAGTTGCTTATGATGTAACGAGAGCAATGATCATTAGGATGTCACCAACTTCAGTGTCTGTTTGCGCGAGTGCCAAAATGCACAGCTTGTTGTATGGGGAAATGGTTGTTGGGCTGACTGCCCTTAAGGATCTTTGGTAGAGTTAAAGTCTGAGTTAACTGATGTAGTAGCGGAAGCGTTTTGAGTAAAGTCTTTGAACCACCTTGCGCTAGTATGTGAGGGCTAAGTAAGTTGATTGAAGCAAAGAGATACAAGAATATATATATGAATACAGAGAATATGAAGAGACATAATTATAACTACTTTACTGTTGCGGTTCGATACAGTGCGACTCGAGCAACTGCTCAATGTCGAGTCAGTTGTGTGCCCTTGCTGTCGCGCTGCATTTGTCAGGTCAAAGGTCGCTGACCTTTAACTTTCGCGTAACCTCCAGCGGTTACATCAACCTCCGAGGGTTGATTCGCTAGTGCTTCGATATGCGCTGCTTCGCTTGTGTCTTGGTGTTTCGACACGACAGAGGCGCTTAGGACTGTTTCTTCCCAACACTCCCCTTCGCTTCTGGAGTGTCGCAGATGGTGACGTGGCATTGTCCAGTCAGCAGCATGAAGTACTCGAACTTCTGTTTTCCGAGCTTCTTGGTCAAGTAGTCAGCTGCCATCTCGGACGTGGGACAGTAGGATAGTTCGAGTTTCCCCTTCTCGATCTCGTCTTTCACTAAGAAATATCGCAGAGCGATATGCTTCGTTCTGTTCACGAATCCGCTTTTGTTGGCGATGCGATTCGCAGATTGGTTGTCGCAGAACAGAGTGAAGTTGGGTAACTCGGCTAACTTCGCTTCTTCCAGCAGTTCGCGAAGATAGAGTCCTTTCTTGGTGGCTGAGCAGAGTGCGATATATTCTGCTTCAGCTGACGAGAGAGCGATTAGTTCCTGCTTGCTCGGTTGCCAGGAGATCGGTCTGATAGGTTCGAGGCGGTAGATGTAGCCAGTATGGGAGCGCCTATTGTCTGAGTCGCCAGCGTGATCGGCGTCGACGTAACCGATTAATTTCGTCGGTGTAGTTGTGTTCTTGTAGTATGTCAGTCCGATCGTTGAGGTGCTTACGAAGTAGTGGAGAGCGCGGTCGAGCTCCGCCACGTGTTCTTCTTCAGGTCTTTTGAGGTAGGTGGCGAGTTGACTTGCGGAGTAGGATAGATCTGGGCGGCAGGTGACGGCTGCGAAGAGAAGGCAGCCCAGCTTTCTCTGGTGGTCGCGTATCCCGGCGGATTTGAGAAGAGAGGATCCTTCATTGTGGTTTCCAGTCGTATAACGGTAGGGCAAAGAGATGGTGGTAGGTGTGAGCGCGAAGCGTTTGGCAATGGTGTCGGCGTACTTAGCGGCATTGAGGTAGATCGCGCCTTCTTCCTCCCAAATGTTCAAGCCGAGGTACTGTCTGACGGTAGAGGAGACCGTGAGTGTGAGGTCCCTCTGTAGCTCCCCTTCGAACCAGGTGGTGATGTCGTCAGTAGAGCCGATGTAGAGTAAGTCGTCTACGTAGACGATCATGTGAGAGTTGAAGAACAGGAATGAAATGACTAAGGAAAGATTGGGTACAAATACAACCCTAGAAACCTGTACCCCATATGTACTATAGCCTACAGCAACTATGTCATATAAATCTGACACACCCCCATAGGCAAAGTGGGGGAGAACAAGGGGTCACAAGACCAGTCAAGAAAGCAAAGCAAAGCTCAGGGTGGATCACAAAGTCACCACACAGTCCGAGCACAAGGTCAAGGCCACAAGGCCAGTTCACATGCAAGACTAGACACATATATATATATATAAGGCTAAACAAGCAAGAGCAGGTATATATATATATATATGCAGGAGTACAAGCAAGGTCAAGAGGTGAGCAAGTGAGGTAGGACAGGTACAAGTCCCAGCTGAGTGCAGAAGCGCTAATGGTCACAAGGCGCGAGTGCCTTGGTGAACACATCAGCAGTGTTGGCCTCAGAGGCCACGTACGCAAGCCGCAACTGTCCACGCTGCTGTAGCTCACGAGCAAGGAAGTAGCGAAGAGCAATGTGCTTCGTTCTGTGCTCCAGACGCTGCTCTCGACACAAGGCCAGCATGGCCTTGTTGTCTACGTACAGCACTGGAGGAGAACGAGGCGGCTCTCCAAGGTCAGTCAGCAGGTAGGTGAGCCAGCGAAGCTCCTGTGCAGCCATGGCCCCTGCATAGATCTCAGCCTCACAATTGGAGCTGAGAACCGAAGACGAGCGAGTAGCCCGCCACGAGACAGAGCCGGAACCAAGGCTGAAGGTGTAACCCTGTGACGACCGCTGCGTAGCCTAGTCGTCAGCCCAAGAAGCGTCCGCGTGACCTGTAAGGACCACTGGACTCCGCCCTCCAAGCACTAGCCCCATGCCCGACGTACTTCACAGGTAGCGCAACACCCTCTTCGCTGCAGCCATGTGCTCTGGTCGGTGTCTCCCAGGAGCAACATAGCGTGCAAGAATGCTAAGAGGGTATGCAAGGTCAGGTCGTGTGCAGGTCATCAGGTACATGAGGCAGCCAACAAGCTCTGGGTACGGGCCACTCGACTCTATGGACTCATCCGAAGGCAGAGCTGAGAGCGAGTGGCGAGTAGACAGAGGAGTGGCCTGAGGCGAGGAGTACGTGAAGCCGAAGCGCTGAAGGACCTGCTGCACCATGTGTGACTGAGTCAAGGTAATGGTGCGGCGTGCTCTGTCCCGAGTGATCTGCAAGCCAAGATAGCTGCGCAGTTCACCCAGGTCTGTGCACGTGTGTCTCTTCAGCAGCTCGGACTTCACGTAGGCGAGTCCAGCAGTGTCCGCTGTGGCAAAGACCAAGTCGTCGACGTACACGAGGATGTAGAACGACGGCAAAGAAGTGTCGGTGCGCAGAAACAGCGACGGGTCAGCAGTAGAAGGAGCAAACCCAAGAGCCGGAAGCGTAGTCCTCAGTGTGTCGTGCCACTCACGCGGTGCCTGGCGGAGACCGTAGACTGGCCGTCGGAGGCTCCACTGGGTGCCAGGAGGGAAAGTCCCAGTGAAGCCAGGCGGACGGCGCAGCCAGATCTCCTCGTGCAGGCTGCCCTGCAAGAACGCAGTGCTGAAGTTGAGAGAGTGAAGCTCGTAGTCGCGCTGAGCGGCTATGTGCAGCAGCACCCGAAGAGTGGTCATCTTCGGGGTGGGAGAGAAGGTCTGAAAGTAGTCAACTCCCTGCCGCTAACTGAAGCCACGAGCGACGTACCGCGCCTTGAAGACAGGTGGAGAGCCCGGCGGCCGCTTCACCCTGAAGATCCACATGCCACTGACGATGTTCGCCCCAGGAGGGGGAACCGCGTCAACGTAGGTGCCTGTGGACTTCCAGGAAGCCATCTCTGCATCCATAGCTGCCTGCCACTGAGAGGAGTAGGGACCCTCTACGGCCTCCGCGTAAGAGCGCGGAGTCGGGATGTCTAGTGCATCCGGGTCTCCCTCAGGGGCAAGTAGTACGGACGCGAGATGAGGTGAAGCAGCAGCCAGACACTGGAACTCCTCCTGCTTGTCCTCAAGGACGTCCGTGCCAAGAGCACACTCACCCCCAACGGACGGAGCACAGACAGACGCAGACTCAGCAACAAGACTGGCAGCGTAGTCTAGACGACAGCGAGCAGCAAAGTCGACGAGCTCAGCGACAAGAGCAGACGCAGTAGCGGACTCAAAAGAGGGGTCAGTGACGACAGTAGCAAGGAGACGCGTGACAGTAGGACTGGCAGCACGGAGGGAGTCCGACTCCGGGTCTACTAGCGTAGGAAGAGAGGACTCAGGAGGAGAAGGCAAAGGGGCACGCAGAGGAGCAGTGGACAGACGCAGAGACATCCGGTGTGTGCCAGGGACAGGAGGAGGACGCTGACGCGAACCGCGACCACTAGCGCGAGCAGCACGAACAGGCGACGCGGGACGAGACGCAGGCTCACGACGCTCAGCAAGACCCCCAGTGGGACCAGTGTAAGGAGAGGGAGCAGGCAGTGGGGAGGTAGGCTCCAACAGTGACTGCGACTGGACAGGCTGTGGACACTCTACAGGAGGAGAATTTCAAAGTTTAAAGGAAGAAAGAGGATTGAACTAGCAAGAATGAGGATACAAATAGCAAACCCTA